CTAGCCGACCTAGGTAACCCGACGATGAAGTCCACAGTGATACTATCCCACTTCCATTCCGGAATCTCCATCTGCTGCATCAACCCACTCATCTTCTGATGCTCCACCTTCGCCTTCTGACAGGTCAGACAGGCCGCCACATATTCAGCTATCTCCCTCTTCATACCAGACCACTAAAGAGTCTTCTTGAGGTCTTGGTACATCTTAGTCATACCAGAGTGGCTGCAAGATTAAAGCATTGAGGACAGATAGAGGCCAAGAATACCTTGCCTGTGCAGATTTCTTTGACCACCATGGAATTCAGCATCAAATGACAACCAGATACACTCCTCAACAAAATGGAGTAGCAGAAAGGAAGAATAGAACAATCATGGATATGGTGAGATGCATGCTAAAGGCAAAAAACACCAGAAGATCTACTGTTGTGTATATTTTGAACAGGTGTCCAACAAAGAGTGTTTGTGATAAAACACCAGAAGAAGCTTGGAGTGGAAGGAAGCCCTCAATCTGGCATCTCAGAATTTTTTGGCGCACCCACAGGCAAATCTTGCACATCAAGAAAATCGAACTTCCTTTTCTCAGCGTCGTGGCAGTCGCTCTAACTTTCGTGGTGGCCGTTTTTCCAACCGTCCAAATTGACTAAGAAACCTAGCTTCCCTTACCTCGGTACAAGAATTTCCGAGCTCCGGGATGAAGAAGACAATGAAGAAGGAGTAGAAAAGGGGAAGATGAGAAGCTTGAGAGATCTCCGCACGGCTCCAGAAGAAACAACCACCTACTCAACACCTTCAATCCAAATTCACCACAAGGACAAATGAGAGCAAAGCTAGCAAAAATGGAAGAAGAGAGTGAGAGTTTGAGAGTTGAGAGGAAGAAAGTGAGAAAACAAGCCACGGGTCTCACAACCTCCCCAACAACAAGAGTTTTCGTCCCCGAAAACAGACTTACTTGGGAATAGAAATGGATATCGCTCCCTGCACTGCTGTTCCACCTCCCAAGTAATCTCACCAGTAGGTGCATCCCACAACACTTTCACCAGAGCAATGGACTTGCCCCTCAGCTCCTTCAGCTTATGATCAATCACAGCTACTGGCAACTTCTCAAGTGTCAGATTCTCCTTCACCCGCACATCATCCAGCTCCACCACATGACTAGGGTCATGAACATACTTCCTTAGCTGGGATACATGAAATACATCGTGTAAGTTTGAAAGGGACGGTGGCAAGGCCAACCGATAAGCAATCAGACCCACACGCTGTATGATCTGATAGGGACCAACAAACATCGATGTCAACTTTCTTGCCTTCAGCGCTCTACCCACACCAGAGGTTGGGGTCACCTTCAGGAACACATGCTCCCCTTCGGCAAACTCCAAAGACTTTCGCCTCTTATCAGCATAAGATTTCTGCCTACTCTGAGCAGTCTTCATCCTCTCTTGAATCATCTTCACCTTCTCAGTAGTCTGTAGGATCAGCTCCGGTCCCACAACCACTGACTCACCATCTTGATACCAGCATAGAGGAGTCCTACATCTCCTACCATACAAGGCTTCAAACGGCGCCATCCCAATACTAGCATGAAAGCTATTATTGTAAGTAAATTTCACCAGTGGTAAGACCTCCTCCCAGCTTCCCAAGTGGTCTAACACACAAGCCCTCAGCAAATCCTCCAAGGACTGGATTGTCCTTTCTGACTGACCATCCGTCTGCGGATGATAAGCATAACTTAGCTTCAGCTTCGTGCCTAAGGCTTGATGTAGACTCTGCCAATATCTAGAAGTGAACCTCGGATCTTTATCTGAAATAATACTGGAAGGCACCCCGTGCAACCGTACTATTTCTCTCACATATAACTGCGCCAGCTTCTCCAAGGAACACTTGATGTTGACAGGCAAGAAATGTGCACACTTGGTCAACTGATCAACAATCACCCAGATAGCATCACTATTCCTAGCCGACCTAGGTAACCCGACGATGAAGTCCACAGTGATACTATCCCACTTCCATTCCGGAATCTCCATCTGCTGCATCAACCCACTCATCTTCTGATGCTCCACCTTCGCCTTCTGACAGGTCAGACAGGCCGCCACATATTCAGCTATCTCCCTCTTCATACCAGACCACTAAAGAGTCTTCTTGAGGTCTTGGTACATCTTAGTCATACCAGGATGTATGTTAAGTCTGCTCTTGTGGCCTTCCTCCAACACAGCTCTCTTCAGCTCAGCATCCTGAGATAGGCAAATTCTGCCCTTGAACCTCAAGATTCCATCGTCACCCAAGTCAAAACCAACAACCTTCTCGGTTCCTAGCAAACCAAGAAGCTTCACCAGCTCAACATTTTGCAACTGCTTAAGTCCAACCTACCTCAAGAACTCATTAGTTATGGTAATCATTCCATAACTAATGTGATCCTGAGCTAACTCCACACGGAGATTCAAATCTCTGAACTCCTCAACCAACTCCAACTCTTTCACCATCATACTAGACATGTGGATTGATTTCCTACTCAGCGCATCTGCCACAACATTGGCCTTCCTAGGATGATACATCAACTGGAAGTCATAATCCTTCAGAAATTCTATCCACCGCCTCTACCTCATGTTCAGCTTCTTCTGAGCAAGCAGGTACTTCAGACTCTTGTGATCACTGAAGACGCTGAACCGAGCACCATACAAATAATGCCTCCATATCTTCAAGGCAAAAACAACTACCGCCAACTCCAAGTCATGAGTGGGATAATTCCTCTCATGGTTCTTCAGTTGCCTTGAAGCATATGCCACCACTTTCCTGTTCTGCATCAGCACACACCCCAGACCCTGGTGAGAGGCATCACAGTACACATCAAAAGGCTCACCAAAATCGGGCAACACTAGCATAAGAGAAGTAGTCAACCTCCTCTTCAGCTCCTCAAAACTCCGCTCACAAGCATCTGTCCAAATGAACGGATGCTCTTTCCTTGTCAGCTGGGTTAGAGACGCTACATTTCCGAGCTCCGGGATGAAGAAGACAATGAAGAAGGAGTAGAAAAGGGGAAGATGAGAAGCTTGAGAGATCTCCGCACGGCTCCAGAAGAAACAACCACCTACTCAACACCTTCAATCCAAATTCACCACAAGGACAAATGAGAGCAAAGCTAGCAAAAATGGAAGAAGAGAGTGAGAGTTTGAGAGTTGAGAGGAAGAAAGTGAGAAAACAAGCCACGGGTCTCACAACCTCCCCAACAACAAGAGTTTTCGTCCCCGAAAACAGACTTACTTGGGAATAGAAATGGATATCGCTCCCTGCACTGCTGTTCCACCTCCCAATGCTTATTGTGATGTCGACTGGGCTTCTGATCCAGATGACAGGCGCTCCACCTCAGGTGCATCCATTTTCCTTGGAACAAATCTTGTGTCTTGGTGGTCCAAAAAGCAAACCGTTTTTGCTCGTTCCAGTACAGAAGCAGAGTATCGAAGCCTTGCCCTTGCTGCTGCTGAAGTTATGTGGATACAGACGTTACTTTCTGAACTTAAGGTCCATCATTCAACCCTGGTAATCTTCTGTGATAATATGAGCATTGTGGCCCTTGCTCACAACCCTGTTCTTCATGCTCGCACTAAACACATGGAATTGGATCTCTTCTTTGTTCGAGAGAAAGTTGCTGCCAAGCGTCTTCAAGTTGTTCATGTTCCTGCCATTGATCAGTGTGCTGATGTCCTGACCAAAGCTCTCTCTCCTTCTCGGTTCTGTGAACTTAGGTCCAAGCTTCAAGTAGTTGAGTCACCTCATCCTACTTGAGCTTGCGGGGGGTATTGGAGTATAGTTTTACTCCTAAGTATATCTTTATATATCTTTATATATCAATTTTCTGTTAATATAGACCAATATATCATTGGCTCTATATATACCAATATTGTACCTATTTTTCAATTAGCTAATGAAATTACAATTACTATCAAATATTCTCTTCTCTCTCTCGCTGCTTTCTCTCTGTCTCACTCTCCTCATCTTTCTCTCTCACAACTCTATTAAATATAACACCTTCTAGACCTTCAAAATTTATAGTATAAATAAAAGTCATAATTTGATCCACAAAATCCTAGTATCTACTAAATAAAAAAATAGTAAACAAATTAAAACTATTAACAATAATTAATTTTAATAAAGTGTATCATATTCTTATCACTCAGTCTTACAAATAAACATATACAACTTACAATGTGATGGAAAGCCTACATAAAGGATCACAACGACAATTTTAAAAAGAAAAGAAATTCTCCACTTGGTCACTAAAAAAAAAATAAATAAACACGTTATTAGGCACATCATCATCACAAAAAAAAATGATCTTCCACTTGGGATAGCAGTATTAGAAGAAAAAAAATGAAAAAACTACTCTAATAGCACCATATATATAAAAAAAAATGGATCTCCCAATATAAGGTAGCAACACTAAATTTACTATGTTCAATAACTCATATTTTATATAAGTTTTAACAATTCAATCGTCAAATTTAAAATTTTTATATTTTTAAAAAAATTAAAAATAATTTAATTATTAATTTAATAAAATAAATCTATGTAAATTTATTCATAAAATAAACAAATTTCTCATATATATATATATATATATATATATATAATTATGACATTGAATAATGATGTATTGATAAATAACATTTGACCACTCCAAAACGAAAATAAATATCAAAATTGTCTCATGTGTGTAATTAATTTTCATATTAACTCGGGTCAAAAAAATCCCCTTATGGTGGAGTAGTAATTTTTTAGGAGCCGTAATTGTTTGAAAAACGGTAAGACGCACGATAATGTTTCGTTTAGGCACAAAAGGCACGGTCCACTTACACACGTGTGATAGTTTGGGCTGGCGAAGCCCAAAAGTGTGGTGTGGCATTGAGCGAGTGAGCATCCTAAACTATGGTGGAATGGAGTGCACAAGAATGAAAAGCAAGAAAAACAAATAATAATATAAAAAAAAAAAAGGTGTTAAATAATTAAAACTACAAACATTGGCGTTGGCTGAGCACGAAGGTGAAAGAGCATGGATACCATGTAACGTGATTTCGGTCACATGACGAAACTGCCCTCGGTACAACCGTTAACCGTGAACCGTGAACCGTGAACCGTGAACCGTGAACCGAGCCAGACCACCATGGACGGCGGCGGCGGAAACCGAGAGGAGGCGGAGCGGTGGCTCTACACGGCCAACAAGCTCCTCAGCGCGCGCGACCTCCACGGCGCCCGCTCCTTCGCGATCCGCGCGCGCGAGTCGGACCCGACCTTCGAGGCCTCGGAGCACCTCCTGACGGTGATCGACACGCTCCTGGCCGGCGAGGCGCGGATCAACGACCACCACCGCGACTGGTATGGGATCCTCCAAATCCTCCGCTACAGCACCAACATGGACCATATCGGCGCCCAGTACCGGCGGCTGGCCCTCCTCCTTGACCCCCAACGCAACCTCTTCGCCTTCGCCTCCCACGCCTTCTCCCTCGTCCACGACGCCTGGTCCGTCCTCTCCAACCCCGCCAAGAAGGCCATGTACGACAGCGACCTCCGATTGCTCACCACCCCCACGCCGCCTCCCCCCGAACGAAACCCTAGATCCTCTCACAACTCCTCCGACTCCACTCGCCCCACTCCTCCCCCTCCCGACTCCACTCGTTCCGCCACCGTCGAAACCAGTTTCTGGACCTCCTGCCCTTACTGTTACGTTCTCTATGAGTACCCGAAAGTTTACGAGGAGTGCACCCTCAGGTGCCAGAGTTGCCGGAGGGGGTTCCATGCGGTGGTGATACGCTCGCCGCCGCCCTTGTCTGGGAAAGACGCTTCCTATTGTAGTTGGGGGTTTTTCCCTTTAGGGTTTTCTGGGAATTCCAAGGATGTGAACGGGTTTTCCTCCAATTGGAACCCCTTTTCCCCCTTGTTCCCTTGCCCCTTGAGAGGCTCGTCCGGTAGGAAGCCTCAGAGGAATTGGGATTACTACGACGACGAGGCTGCCGCCGCCTTCATCGAGTTGTCCGACCCGAGCGACGACGATTCCGGCGACGGCGACTGGAGGGGTGATAAGAGCGAGGGGAGGAAGAGGACTAGGCTGAAGAGAAAATCTGGCGATGGTAGGAGGGAAAATGCGGGGAGGCCTAGGAAGGGTGCTCATGCAGGGCATGAGAATGGAGCCTCTCGTGATGCTGCTATTAATGTAAATGCTAATTCTAATGCCAACGCTGCCTCTGGTGTTCCATCTGGTGCAAAGGCTGCATTGGGTGGTTCGAGGAGGAGGGGTGCGGGAAACTTGGGCAAGTTGGATTTGAATGTAGAGTTTAGCAATGAGGTGGAGGAGCCTTCCCGTGGAGTGCACGATCGGGAAGGGAATGCTGCTGGGCATGCTGAGGATAATATTGAAGGGATTGGGTTTTTTGAAGGACTTGATGAGTTTCTCAGTAGCTTGCCAATTCTCAATGTTGTGGCAGATGATAAGGTTAAGGGTCATTAGTCTTGTAAATGCCTTTTTTTTTTTTTTTCCTTTGGTTGTTGTAGATTTAGATGTTGTTACCTTTATGTTTGTACTCAGATATACAAAATGATGCTGAGCTATTGTGAATTCTTGTCATTGTTAAATTATATAATAATTTGCGGCAATATCTCTTTGCTTTAGTTTTGAACTGTTTGAGGAGAATTACTTCATTTTGTGTAGATTGTGGTTGTATGATAATACAATATGATGTTGAATATCTAGTTGAGCAGAAAATGGCTGCTGATGAGGTTTTTGCGATTACTCCACTTGGCAAGCGGACTAAATTTTGTTGTAGAATTACAGTATCATCCTCAGGGATTTGAGAGTTTAGTAATTCTTACTCTAATGATTAGTATAGAGACATGATTGGAAATGAGCTACTGTGAAACAAAATTAAAACGGTAATGTAAAAGTTATAAGAACAATTATATGAAACAATGATTGGATCCTGGAGCACTTGCTAACCCTTAAATTTTCTTAAAATAAATATGATTTCAACTTCATGACTTCCACGTTCAGTTAGTAATTCAACAAGATTCCTCAAAGTTGAATCTTAAAGTAATTAATCTAAAACATGATTCCTCTAGTTTTGAGACTAACACTTTGCATTAAGAATAATGACTTGAACAAAAGTGACTAACCATATCAAGTCTATCCCTAAAATAAGAGATGATTAGGTACAGGATTCAGTTCGAGTTTTCAAAAGCGTTTTCCAACAGAATTCAAAAACTAAAAATTCATACAATGGGTGATCAAGCCGATATAAGCATTAAAAGTGGAATCAAGCACAAGTAATGAGGATGAGATGCATATATAGATAGATTTGAGAAATAAAAGAGTTAGTAGTTACACCAAGACCAATCCTCAAAAGGTTTAGCCACACATGGCCATTACAAGATTAGAGGAGTGGAAAAAGAAATTACAAATTGAAAGATGAAGAAAAGAGGTTGATCTTCGTTCCCAAATGATCCAACTTCCCGATCTTCGCTCTTGCCCTGTTTTCTCTTCTTCGTGCTCTCAATCCTATTTTTTTCTCTGTTTCGTGATAATCCCAAGTTCTTTTCATTTCCCTTTTATATCAGCTTCAAAATAGGGGAGATTTGCAATTTTTAAATCCACCGTTGCAGCTGTAGATCCACAGTTATGGCTGTGGAGAATTCTTCAAAGTGAAGTAACCTCCAACGCTACAACTGTAAATCCACAGCCATGGCTGTGACAACTCCTTCATGGTTAAGTATCTTCTGGCGCTATAGCTTTGAAACCACAACTATGATTGTGAGTTTCTGTAACTTTTCTTGATCTTTCATGCCTCAACGTTCTAGCTATGAACCTACAGCTATGACTGTAACTCTCTAGAGTCCCATTTTTGCACTGCAGGTTTCCACAGCAGTGGCTGCAAGTTTTTTACTTCCTGATGATTCCCTAGATTTTCACAGTTATGGCTCCAGAACCACAGCTATAGCTGTGGAACTCTGTCTTCCCAAATTTTTTTGCAAAAAGGATGAAAATCATCATAAATTTTCTACTACTCTTCTACCCTTTAGTATAACTTGATTTTTCCTAAATAAGGCTAAATTATCATATATATATATATATATATATATATATATATATTTACAATTT